AACTTGATTCTGAGTCTAATTTTGCCATCAAACAAATATTGGCAAATTCTTGTTCACTTTCATCATCCTCTGAATCACTCCATGTTTCAGCTTTGAAAGCCTTCTTATATTGTTCATACTTCCCTTTGTTCTTTTTGAGAAGAGGACATTTTGGCTTTATGTGTTCGTTCTTTTTGCAGTGGAAACATATTACATCTTTGTTTTCTTCATCTTCGGCACTTGATTCCTTCTGAAAATTTAGCTTCTTGGTCTTTGATGACTCAGAATTCTTGAATTGCTTCTTTGACTTATTCATCTTCACCTTCTTTGCCATCTTTCTCAGTTTCTTGACCATTAAAGCCAATTCTTCATCTTCATCTTCATCTTCATCTTCATCTGAATCTGTATCTGTGTCATTAGAATCAATGTTAGTTTTCAAAGCAATAGACTTTTTACCTTTGGGTTCATCAACTTCTAAGAACTTTTCAGTTTCATAGGATTGAAGAGTTCCGATGAGTTCGTCCACTGTGAGTGGTCTGATCCGCTGAGTTTCTCGAATAGAAACTTTGATGTTGTTCCATTCTTTTGAAAGAGCTCTCAGTAACTTGTTCACCTTCATAGGTTCTGAGATGGGATTGTTTTGAAATTCAAGTCCATTTACGATCTCAGTGAATCTGCTTTGCATCTCAGAAATTATTTCATTTGGTTTTTGAGTGAAGGACTCGTACTGCCCAAGAAGAATGTTGAGATTTGTCTCCTTGACTCTCTCTATTCCTTCATGAACAAGCTTGAGATGGTCCCGGATTTCTTTTGCAGTTTTGAGATTTGCAATTCATTTGTATTCAACACTTGCAAGACCATTGTATATGACCGTTTTGATCTTTGCATCCAGATGGATTCTTTTGAAAATTTCTTTGGCCGAGAGTGGTAGAACTTGAGGTCTGATTTGCTCTCTAATTCCTTCGGTAGAAGGTGTCTCATTTTGCCCTTTTGAAATTTTATTTCAATTGAAATGTGTGGAATGATTCTATGTTCAACAATGTCCCATATATCTTGATCTATTCCCAAGATGAATGTCTTCATCTTGTTTTCCCAAACACTGTATTCAGTTCTATTGAAGTAAGGCGGTCTGTTGTTGTGACCTGATTCAGCATTACTAGTCATCAAGAATCGTTAGCTCAGAAGTAAAATAACACTTCAAGGAAAAATGAGCACTTGGCTTTGATACCAATTGTTACGGCTAGTGCTATCACCTAGAGGGGGTGAATAGGTGATTTTACCAAATTGGATGATTTAAACGTGCGGAATGAACATAGTCGAGGTCAACAACTCGTATGTACAATATCATATGGATGCGAATTACAAATTTGCATGTAAGTTGTCGTCAGATGATTGCGTCTGATGACTAAGATGATGTTCTGACGAACTTGTTTGACAAATATGTATGCAATATAATGTCAGCAATAATAAATGAAAATTTAGGGATAGAGAATACTGCACACAGATTTTTATAGTGGTTCGGTTTTATCATGCCTACGTCCACTCTCTACGCTGGCAGCCTATTGGCTGTGTTTCACTATTGAATCACCAGAAGATTACAAGAGCAGTGCTTCACAGATGATAGACTGCACTATCACATACACTCTTCACTCAAGTAATTTTCTTTCTAAAGTCACAACGTGGAATACAGTAATCACAAGTGTGTAAGATCGAAGCTCTATTCAGACTTTGAAATTCTCGATTCTAATTTTTTTTTTCTTGTACGACGTTTGCGCTCCTTTTATTCTCCTCTACTTCCAATCTATCCGTTGGACAGTCTTCAGAGGATTGATCTTCAAATCAACCCGTTGGAGATTCTTCCCAAAATAGGATGCATAGCCATTAGAAAAAGAACCATTATCTCCGAGTGATTTGATCGCCTATACAATCAAATCAAGGTTTCCATAAGTGTAATTCTTCGTGTTTAAGGAACGATCTTGTGATTGCCAATTTGGATATCCTGAGATATCAATTTGATTATCCTGCATAAACTTGCCAAAAATAACACTCATTGAATCTAACGAGTAATTTTGAGTCTGATGACAAAGTCCTTTCATCAACTAAGTCTGATGACTTAGCATTTACCTACATCAAATAACTTAAGTGTAATTCTGATCAGTAACAGATAGTTTTGTCATTCCTCAAAATTCATTAAGGATTTTCTCAACAAGTTGTTTCTCCACTTTCATCGTTAGCTTACAGACATCTTCAAAGGACCAAATTGTTGATGCTCAACCAAATCTGCGATTTCCCTGTTCATTCCTCCGCGGAAGCGAGCAATGGTTTGCTCTTGCATTTCTAGAACATTGCAACTCATAAGGAATTATTCAAACTCCTTGATATATTCTTCAATACTCGAGAGAATTCAGCTTGAGAAATATGTCTTGTTTGTAGGTGTCAGACAAAAACTCTTCTTCATAAGCTTCTTGAGTTTTTCCAAAAATTGACTCTACCTTTTCCTTCCATCATTCTTTGATTTTTCAGGTTTTCCCACCAAAGTGAAGAATACTTTTTGAACTTAAGAACAACAGCCCCGCATCTCATTTCATCCGAGTATGACTTGAAGCCAAATACTGCTCAATAGCATTCAACTAATCAACAAAGTCATTTGGATTGAGGCTACCTTCAAATTCAAGGTTCTCGACTCCGAGTCCGTGGTCATTATCTTCATGCCTTCTTGTTCTTTTTCTAACTTGATAATCCGAATTATTAGAATTGCCATTAGTATTATTGGATTCATCATTGGAGTTTATACTAGGTTCTAGATGAACATGACATGGACTATGAGCCGGACGTCTCTATGGTTGTTCTTGTCTCGTTTAATTTTGCAAGAGATTGAGGACTCACTCTATTTCTCACTAGAGATGATCTATGGCACTGTCATTGCGGGCTTGTTCCAAAGTCAAGCCTCTAGAGACCAGTTTGATTTTTTTTAGAACAAATATATGAGATGGAGTGTAGAAGAAATCATTCAAAACTAGTTCAACTTTGAAACTTTGATACCAACATGATGCGCGGTGAGAATTAGATGATGTTAATTGTGTATGATGGATAAGTGAATGGAAAACTGTTTGCTAGGAAGTGTGTGATGGAATATGTTTTAATCCACCAGCCAAGGATGAATAACTCAAGGTTCACAATGGAAGTGAATTGGATAAAAAACGAAATATTAACGAATTTCATTCACTTGAGGAGGAAATCTCGTGTATTAACAAATTCAGATCTGAACATATATTTGAGAATTCACTTATATTTATCCAGCCAAACCTTAACGACTTAGGAATTAAAAGAGGCAATTAATATACATGGGAACTCAAACTTTATCTCCGCGGCCCTGCAATTAAACCACAAACCATGTCCTCCAATTTGCATTTACTCATGTTCAAAAAGTTTCGCCTGGGGCATCTTGGACCCACCGGATCATGTTGTGGTCGAACTTTGCCTTTGCTTACATGATTAACAATTGGGCATTTGATTAATTGATGGGACTTGAGTTGGGCTTGTCTTTTGATCGACGGGATTCCCAAGCTTTGATGCTCGCCGCATCGCTATTCCCAAATTATTTTCCAAATGAAATTCAGATCAAGTTTAATAACTTTTCAACCACGACATCCTAAATTTCACTAATACAACTTCTTGTCACATGGGTCGGATCGGGCATGTATGTATACAATTTGGGCTGGATCATTTTTGACCCGATCCCACCGTGCGGGAAATGTCTCAATTAGACTCGTAGTTGTAGTGATTGATAAAATATTGGGTGGTCTGGGACCTTCACGTCACGTGGTCCCGGACCACTCACGAAGCGCCACGTTGTCCACGTGGAGCGGGTGGGGCCAGTGGGCCAGGACGAGTTTTTTTGCACAAAAAAACTCGTATTTTGTCTCTCTCATTAGCCCATTAGCCATGCACGCCCTCCTCTGCATGCGGAGAACGCTACCCCTTTTCCTCTCTCCCCTCTCTCTCTTCATTAATGGCGGCCTCCTTCTCTCTCCTTCTCTTATCCTTCTCAGCGCTCCCCCTCTCTTCGTGAGAAGCCCCGCATTCTCTTTGTTTTTTCGAAAATCTCTCCCGCCCAAGAGCAAGTCCGCCCGCCCGCCGGCCCCGACCTCAGATTCACCTCTGCCCGCCGGTTGCAGCTACTGGGTCCCAAGCTCTAACCGCCTCCGCATTCTTTGTTGTTCCTGCTCACTGAGGCCCCGTTTGGTTCAGCATTCCCAATGCTCATTTGGCCTCTAAAGTCCCTTGGCCAAATGCAAATGGCATTTGGCAATTTTTTTTACTCACTTTGGGGAAATGCAATTGCATTTGGAATGCTCCCCAAGGGACCTTTGGCCAATGCACCTCTGAAGGTGCTTTGGGAAGTTGCATTTTCGGAATGCAACTTGCACTATTCATCGACACTGTTCATCTTCCCTAAACCGAGGTCCGGCGGCCCGCCGCCTGAGGGCTAGCCCGACTCCGGCGACCACCGCCCGGGGGTCGCGCGACCCGGCGACCGCCGCCTGGGGCTGCTGACCTCGGGCGGCCGCCGGGTCGCGCGACCCAGCAACGCTCGCCCGGGTCGCGCGACCCAAGCGACCGCCCGAGGTTTGGCGACTCCAGCGGCGGTCGCCGGGTCGCGCGACCCTGGCGGCGGTCGCCGGGTCGCGCGACCCCAGGGCGGCGGCCGCCGGAGGGTCGCGCGACCCAGCGGCGGTCGCCGGAGGGTCGCGCAACCCCAGGCGGTGGTCGCCGGCGACCAGATCTGGCCGTCGGCGGTTGGCCGGCGACCAGATCTGGCCGGAGGCGGTGGCCGGCGGTGTAGCTCCACCGGAGCTTTTTTTTTAAAAAAAAAATAGTAAAAGTCTTTTAGCCCAAGTTGATTTAAAAAAAACCTTACCAAACGCTACTTGCATTTCGGAAAACCCCTTTAGCCCAAAGGTATTTGCATTCCCCCAAATGCATTCCCCCAAAGTCGAACCAAACGGGCCCTCCTCCGACTCCACCTCCGCTTCCGCTTCCGCATCCGCCCCCGCCGTCGCTTGATTCTTTTCACGCTTGCTGACTTTCATAAACACCAAATTTCTTCTCTCTTATTTTTTCTCGTCTTTTTTGTTTTCTGGGTTTCCAGATTTTTGAGTTGTTTATGGTTTTTAATGTTGTTGGGTTTGCAATGCAGATTAAGATGGACTTGTAATTAGTTGCCGGAATACTGTGGAGGTCGAGCAATTCCATTCCAAGCTCGTTGCGACTGACATTCTGGTTAGGTGCTTATGTTTTCCTGTGTTTTCTTGTGACATTCTTGACTGACATTCTGTGCCTGGTTACTCTGCTCACATCAGATTATATGATATGCTCTGCTTTTGTTGAGGCTTCAAAGTCAGTTAATGTTTTCTGAATGGTTTTTGGTTGTCTATCTCTTCTGTGAGAATGGTCACCTATTGTAACTACAAGGATTCCTTTTGAAACCTGTATATACTCTGATCCAATATTCTTGAACCAGTGCACATGTTTTTGGAGTTTCAACGGCATCCATGCAGTTATCTTATGACTCTAGAAGGAACAGCGTGCCGACAATACTGCTGCTTATGCAACGAAAGCTGTATTCTCAAGGAGGTTTACAGGTTCATCATGATTTTCTCTCTTAACCGGTGATCATTTTCAAGATAGATTCACACTTATTTTGCACTAGAAAGCAGAGATTGAATCGCATATATACCAGGGTTTTGATTGAATCGCATATGTTCAGTTCCTTTTTGGCAATAGTCAAATTCAAGCCGGTTTAGTTTGTAAATTTAGTATAGTCATTAAACGTGTTTTATTCATGCAGGCAGAAGGTATTTTCAGGATAAATGCAGAAAACAGTCAGGATTGGCGGCTTAAGCCGTATACGGAGTGGATTGAGGCATCAACCTGCATTCCAGGTGACAATGCCTGTAGAGAAGAGTAGGGTGATTGGCAGCTTAAGCCATATACGGAGTGGATTGAGGCATGGAGATGAAATATCTCTGCACTTCTAGGGAACAAGCTTCCAGATGACCTCATTGAGTGTAAGTTTGTATGAATCGGAGTCGGGGGGAGGTTTTGTGAAAGATTTGTGTTCTGTTTCGCTGTGCCAGATTTTAGGATTGTTTGAAACTGTTTGATGTTGCGACAACATTCCACTTGTGATCATACTAAGTGGAGATTCATTCGTCTTTGCTTGCCGTTTGAACCTTGTATTGCTTGAGCTGCCGTTTATTGTGGCACTGCTCTCTCTCTCTCTCTCTCTCTCTCTCTTCCCAACCTACATAAAGACTTGCATTTCCCGACATTCAACTATCCTGGATAGAAAACAGGACGAGTCCATGAGATGAGTGCCCAATTTTATGGCACAGTCGTGTTGATGTTAATTGGAATATAATAGCATGCGGTACTTCTTGTCACTGGCACTCTCCATCCAATTCGCAGAGGGATGGTGCATTCGCTCTCGAATCTAAAGCAATGCGGCCCCAGATATGTAAACATGCATTTTTCTACCTAATGAAGGTTCTCTGTAGGAAAAATTGTAAAAATTTACTCAAGTATGATCAAGAAATTGAGATGAGCCAGCAATAGTCATTCCCACCATAGGACTAGCTAGAGGCTAAGCAACACGCCATCTGATATCGATTTCTCTCATATCGCATGAGGGCACCCGAATGCGATCCACTTTCAGATTTCTTTCAGAAACGAATACGACTTTAAACATAAAGGCGGGCAATATAATTGATCGTTCAATTTCACTGTAAATAAAGTATCTTTAGCAAGTGAAGCCTCTAAAAGAAAGACATACAGCAGAATGCCAAGCCTTTCTTTACTGGAAATCATACAGGAGAGCGCTCTGCAATTATTCAATTCTCCTCGTAAAAGTAACGTACTTCTCTTTTCGGTTATTTTCTTCCCACGGCCGAAGGCTTATCTCAATCACAAGGAATCAAGGGGGCACCAGGCGATCATGTTTGAGGATTGCTTCCATCCAAGGTGAGAAGAACCTTGTATAGGTCTGGACGTCGATCTAGAAATATTCCCCAGCTATGTCTCTTGCGTTTTATATTAGCCAGATCAAATTCCGCCACAAGAACAGCTTCCTCTTTTTCATTGGCACTTGCCACGATTTCTCCCACTGGTCCTGTGCAATACGTAATTCTAATTCAAAATATTGTTCACAGGCAGGATATCTCTATTCTAGAATTACTTGCAATTGTCGACCTAATACCCGCGATGAAAGAGTTGCCATAGAATGTGATCTCACTCTTTCCACGCTCTGTCTGCATTACTTCTTTCCCTATGCGATTTAAAGCCACCAGAGGTACCTATGTTTGTTGAAGTCAAGTGAGATTCCTACACAAGAAGTACTATATGACATGGGACAATTATGGACTATTCCTTATCAGGGTTTCCCAACCGATACTCGAACAATAAATAACTACGTGACCTCAAAAGAGGAAGACTAGGGAGAGCAAATCGCAATACAGCAGATTTTTCTCGCATCTATGATACAGTGGAGCAGATGCATGATAGAACAAGAAATTGCTCCAGGTTAAGTAATTAATACTTGCTCATTGGCTAAAAGAAAAAAAAACGTAAGAAATATCACTCAGACCAGATAAGCATTTTCATGAAAACGATGACACCCATTTACTTCCACAAGTTTGCGTGTCGAACACTAATCAGGCAACTTAAATGTCCCAACATTATTCACTAGTTCACAATTCGATCAAGCAGAGAATGTACCAGATTAGCCCCAGCATGCCCTTGCATAACTCTCTTCCAGTGTTCTCTAGAGCATTGTTGGGTATAACAATATTTCTGCCCCTCGCAAAACCATTGCTCGAGCTGCCTCAGGAAGCCACTGGTCCCAACAACTTGCTGACAAAGATAAACAAAGTTGATCAACCTATCATATCTCACCCTTCAGCTTTGACTTATGGAATCAGCCCTAAAATGTTACAAGTTGCAAGAAATACTTGTGAACCAAGACTGCAAGTTCAAGCTCAAAAAAGAAGATGTTGCAAGAAGGCAATTGCTATTTCCTCCGGGTGGTTTCTCATGGATTTTGAACATAGTATTGCAACAGGCAGGTTACACAGAGAACAAAAAAGCTGCAGGTATAACACATAGAGCTCCTTAATAAACTCCAATCTTGGCAAATTTTGTCTCAAACACCTGTTTAGCCAGAGAATCAAAGTCAATCTTATGAGTAACTTTGATTAATCTCACTGTTACGGTCCGTAGCTAAGAAGTAAGAAGATCGAAGATTGACTAATACAATTGCTCGTACACACCTTAAAGCCAGTGTCCCCTGGATTGAAGTAGAACTTCTCTTGGTAACCTGTGGATGCAATTCCCTGTGAACTCATCATCTATGAAGCACATAAATACTCAGGGGCTAAAGCAAAAGCTTCGCCAGCTCAATGCTCCGTTCTAACGCGAAAAGAGGAGCTACAACCCTCAAGAAGTTCGAGGAAACTAATGAATCATAATTGCAAGTTGGAAGAACAAATTCAGAGAGACAACAAAGAAGAAAACAACACCCACAAAACAACAGCGTACGGCAGAGCCCGACCAGTCAACTTCCAGCACATAACCTAAGCTCCCCACTTCACATACCAGCCAAGCCAGTTGAATCCATCAAAGCTTGGGACCCAGCAGCTGCGACTAATGCTGCGAATGACAATTATTCTATTTCAGAAGCCAGAAATTGATTTTTCTATTTCTATTCCTAGAGGAGTTTCTGAGTAAAAAAACACGTTTGATAACGACACAAAATTTCTGTTCCAAAAATAGAAATTTGTTTGATAAAGGTACAAAATTTCTCTCTCTCGAGTGATCGGAGAATGGATGGCGGGTAGCGGACGGTGGCAGTGGACGGTAGACAGTGGCAGCGAACGGCGGGCGATGGATAGCGGGGCGAGGTGGCGGCGGATAGCGATGAGGCCAGTTCGGAGGATGGCGGCTAGAGGCGGTCGGCGACTTCAGGAGGGTAGCGGCGAGAGGAGGGCGATCGGCAGCGGGAGACTGTGGCCAGTGGGCAACGGCCAGCAGTGGGAGGTGGACGGTGGCCGAAGGTGGGTGGCGGCTGGAGGAGGAGGTCGGCGGCGAGAGACGGTGGCCGGTGGACGACAGGCGGCAGCCCATAGTGGCGGGAGGCAGGCGGCGACAGGAGGAGGGTAGCCGGAGGCGGGAGCGGTGGCCGATGGATGGCGGGCGGCAACCGGTGGTGGGAGGCGGGCGGCTGCTGAAGGCGAGTGGCAATGGGAAGAGTGAGGCCAGTAGCGAGAGACGGTGGCAGGTGACGGAAGGCGGACGGCAGAAGGCGGACGGCAGAAGGCGGGCGGCGACAGTGGGAGGAGGGTGGCCAGTGGCAGGAGACGGTGGCCGGCGGTTGGAGGCAGGCAGCGGCGGGAGGAGGGCAACTAGTGGACGGCTGCGGGAGACGGTGGATGGTGGCCGGCGGCGGGAAACGGTGCCCGGCGATGGGAGGAGGGCGGTTGGCGGCGGGAGACGGTGACTGGTGGACGGCGGCCCACGACAGCCGACGATGGGAGGCGGACAGCGGCGGTGGGTGGCGGCAGGTGGCGGCCACCGGCGGCGGCTGACAAGTGGGCGGCGGGTGGGCGGCGGGTGGGCGGCAGGTGGGCGACCGGCTAGTAACGAGGACGAGGGATGATAAGTATTTTAACTTCTCATTTCTGTTCCAGAAATAGAAAAGCAAAAAATTTTAATTTTTGATTTCTGTTTCAAATCTATTTCTGGAATAAAAATTTGTTTCAGAAATAAAAAATGGAATTGCGTTACCAAACGAATTTCTATTCCAAATCTATTTCTGAAATAGAAATAGAGAAACATAATGGTTATCATTCGCAGCCTAACGGACATGCGGATTTGCTCTTGGGCGGGAGAGATTTTTGAAAAAACAGAGAAAATGTGGAGCTTCTCATGAAGAGAGGGGGAGCGCTGACGGAGAAAATATTCAGTGGTTTACACGTGCCTACGTGGCGTGCGTAAACTCACGTGGACCACTGATAATAGGACATGTGGCTATGACGTGGAATAAAAAAAATAAAGCTATATTTGGTTTCTCTCTCCTCTGATGCCTTAGGATAGAAGACCCTCTCTCCTCTGTGCCTATAGGAGGAGTCGTGAGCAAGGAAGTGAAGCAATAAATGCATGCATTAATTGCTGTGTCTCTCTCCCCCTCTCCCTCTCTTTTCTCTTTCACGTTAGTTTGAATTCCATTACTTTTTCACTCTTCTCCTTCCCTTCCTATAACGCTTCTTCTCATCTCATCCTTGTTCTTAGCTTTTCTTCTTCACTTTCGTCGTCAATGGCTCCGGAAACCACCGGTGAAAAGCGGAAGGCCGGTCGCAGCGGCCGGGTCCCGAGACCCCCTCCGCCTCCTCCTCCGCCCTCCCGCCTCTCGCCTCCGTTCTCCGCCCTCTAGCCTCCGGCTCCCCCCTCTCGCCTCCGCCTCGTCGCCTCAGCCTCGCGGCCTCCGCCCTCTCACCTTCTGCCTTCGTCCTCCCGCCTCCGCCTCGTCGCCTCCCCCTTGCGGCCTCCTCCTCAACCACGTGGCCTTCGCCCTCCCGCGCCTGTCCTCTCGCCTTCGCCTCCGCCAGCCTCGCGGCCTCCGCCTCCGCCCTCCCACCTTCCGCCTTCGTCCTCCCGCCTCCGCCTCCTTCTCCACCCTCCCGCTCGTTGCCTCCCCCTCGCGGCCTCCGCCTCGTCGCCTCAGTCTCGCGGCCTCCGCCTCCGCCCTCTCGCCCCCGTCCTTCTGCCTCCGCCTCAGCCTCGTGGCCTCCGCCGGAGAAAAGTTGCCTTCGCCCTCCCGCTTCCACCTCCCCAATCAGTCAAATTTTTTTTTGTTGGTGTTAAGGTTTGACTGATCTTTCTGCATAATCCCTTTTTTTTTAGAAGTCTCTTAAGTTATATAACCCATTATTTGTGGAGATCAAAGTGACTAACTGAGAAAATGATTCCCAAGAAAGTTTGGAGGAAAAAATAAGACAACTAGAAAGAGAATATTTTCTCTGATTCGTGGGTCTCAAATGAGGTAAGCAACTTTTTACACCATGCTTCTTGTTGTTAGTCAAATTTTACTGGGAAAAATTCTATCATTGTGGTTAATTCTATAAGGCAAGCTTTTTTAAAACACGATTAGTGGAGCTGATAGATTTTGAAAATGATCCAATAGAACATGTAGTGGAAAAAGATTGTTGTAGGTTTTGTTATCTATTACATTTATTTTCTTGGATTACTTTTGTTGATTAAATCTAATCTAATTTTGATTAATGATATTATTACTTTAGTATGGCATCTCGAGGATCTTCAAATTGGTCGGTTGATTTTCTATCCAAGATATGTCCATGTCCTCAAGGGAAATTATGCAAAGCAAAAAAAGTGCAAAAAAATCCTATTAATCGAGGAAGGTTATATTATGCTTCGACTTGTAATGTAAGTGTATCAATTTACCATATCGTGCATGTAGTGACATTTGTAATACTTGATATTACTTTACACTAATTTTTTTTTTCAGACAAATAATTGTCGGGGGTTTGTGCAATGAGTTGAAGATTATATTGAGAAATGCAGGATCTATTCGCCTAAAAATGTGGACGCAGTCAATTCTGGAGAGGCATCAAGCGAAAATGAAGAATTGGCAATCATAAAAGAAGATTTGAAGTTAATTAGAAGAAAAATAGGCTTTATTATGTCAATGATAATATTATATGGAATCATCGTATCTTTCTTTCTTGGAATTGTGATTTCTATGTTACTATATAGGTAATTATAGGAGTTAATCTTGATGGTTATGTAGAACTTGCTTTACTTTACTATGATCAGTTTAACAAAAGTTAAGACGTTGGTTCTTATTTCTCATTTTCAACAACAAAGGGCGATCGTCGAAATTGGTCCGCCATATATCAGTTTACTTTTTCTGGCTTAGAGAGCCTCCGGGTTCGTCAATCATACGACTATGAGTGAACTCCCCAGTTGTTAACAAATGGGTTATTTTTTCACAGGACAATAATGTTATCTTAGGGAGATGGGTATTCATAGACCTCAAACACTAGCAATAAGTGAAGCCTCAGTAAGTGATTTGCGGTTGTTTATATATACTTGCTCGAATTCTTCTACAATAACCAAGAATTGTTCCTTCATTATGGAAAGACAATAATGTTTGGAAAGACCGTATTTCTTCTTTGTGCATTCATTTGGAGATTTCATTATCCAATAATTGGTCATGTTAATGGGTCTATCAAATTGAAGTGTGCGTGATATTCGATGTTTGTAATAACATGAACGTGTTTGTTTGATATTCCTCCCAGAGTTATTTCTCTCACGTTTCAGATTCATCGAGATGTTCCAATTTTCGAGCACCATGAATTAGGTTTATGATCACATAAGCGATTGAAGGCAATTCCTGATAAGCTGCCAATACATCTGGAGCTGAATGACAGAGTTTATTTACATGTCAAAATTTCATATAGAATATACAATTTACAATGACTAACAACAGAAGATGGCATGTTATTAAAACAAAACTGACCTTTCAATAGGCCCAACAATCAAGAAAAAAAGAAAATCCTCAGTAGAATCTCAGTGGAAGTTTCAATCACCTAGCTACCTATAACGGGTTTCTCCCTTCATCAATTTTGATAACGAGGAGATGCTCAGGGTCTGACCCCTTTGGTCCTTCAGAGTATAGTGTTGGGAGATAAGCCTCGTACGCTCGGAGGTAACGGGAGACAAAATCTTTAACCTACAAAATGCAAAACTTTTACTCTCACAATTCAAGAATCAGATGGCTGCTGCATGTACGACTAAAACCAGAGCATGTCAAAGCCTGATAAATAGGAAAGCACCTCCTCATCAGACATCCCAGGATTTCCGGCCTCTCTCATGGCAATTTCTGTCTGAAAAGATTTCGCCAAAATGGTTTGTACATAGTTAAAATCATGATAGAGAAAATAAGTAACACGGTGAATTTGCAGATGAGATTCTACATTTCGATAGAACATAATGTGGTCATAGGGAAGGTGAGATGCTAGCCTGCAAGCGCCATTGGTAGACACAACTAGTGTCCTCAATCTTGATGACTATCCATGCCTTGACAAATTTGTCCCACGCATCATAATAAGCTTCAAGATTCTTGTTTACAGTCTCTAGCTGTATAACAGACTCAGAAGGTATTAGTCTAGTTATCATACAACATCATGACGAAAAAAGTCATCCAAACATCTGCAAGATTCTTTGAGTCCCAACCTGTGGATCAACAGCTTTGACTGCATCTGCTGGCAAGGGTTTGAATCCAAGCATCCAACCTTCAAACAAAACAGCCTAGAAGACAAGCGGAAGTCATAACATCATTGATGGAATAAAAGAAAATCGAAATTCGAATCTGCAAGAGGTGATCAAATCCACAAAAGACAGTAGACATGCCCACAGCTGAGTCAACCTTTCGTCAGGCATCTTCTGAGAAAGGATAACCCCATCAGTTCTGCTTGCCTCGTAGTTGCCAGTATTTATACTACCAAGTCATTACGACTTTAACATCTCTATAGCCCATGCCCCTTCTGTCGGTTAGAAAAGACATACACAATCGATTTTTCAACTAGTGCAAGTTCATCATCTCACCATCTTACTGCCTTTTTGTCTAGAAATATCTTACCGTTAATGGCCCTTCCACTTCTGGCCAAGTCCATGGATCACTTCTGTCACCCTTTCCATTATAAGCAGACTGCAAGGGAGGAGAACTCAGCATTGGTGGCATAAAAATAACACCTGACATGTAATGTTCAAGCTACATAATGAACTCTAAAGAAGAAACAAGTTTTGACAGGAATCAAGACCGCCAATCTTAAACCTGAAACCATATGCATCGATTCAGAGTATCTACAATGATCATTCATCAAGTCATTTGCAATGATCATTCATCAACTATAACTCTCCCAGTCCATCCACACTAGACCATGATGGATTCAGAACAAGAATTAGAGATGCTAGGCACCCTAGAATTATAGACTTGGCAATCGCATTCACTTGGCTTGGCTAGCCAGTGGATCTGTGAGCTTCAAAGTGTACCAGTGCATTCAAATGAGCATTCATTTCATCTCACATATGGAGAAAACAACACAAATTTTGGGTTGAATTTGCCAAAAGGATCATTTCACTCGGCATCTAAATTGTTTGACTAGAACCACATACAAGATGACTTCACCTCAAGCTCAGGGATACAGAATAACAGCTAAAGCTATTCTACAAAAATTTGTAAGAATGAACAAAAGATGTAACTATTAACTCAGGTGAATCCTCCGATCAAACCGAACTTAAATAAGAACTTCTTTTGATCAAAATCTAGCATCTCGCTCATGCTACGACCGATGTTGCTTTGGCTAAAAAATTTGTAACGTTGCTCTAGTCTATTTTCAAACTATGGGGAAAGAAGTCAGGATAATCAGCAGCTTCATCGAGTTGTCTCCCCATTATATTAATCAAAAACCTAATCCGAGGTTTTAAAGAGTTGTTAATGCTTTTAATCAGAACTGGAGGATAACCAGTCACCAAATTCGCTATCTACCCATCGTAGTGAATAATCGCCGAAGGTCAATCCTGCAAAAAAGGAAGAGTATCATAATAACTTCATGGCTTTCATTGATGAAATCACAAATTAAACAAGCATCATAACTTGTGTGAGGTGCCTCCTGCGCATGAAGATGGTTTTCTCTTTCGCTTTTCACTAGCGCCCTTCAACCGAGTGTTTGGTACACCTTTTGGTCTTCTCCGAAGGGGATCAAGTATTTGAATTTCATAGTTTTCTACATCTTCAGCTTCATCACTTTCCACCAAGAAATTAATATGATCATTACCTGTTGAAGATTGCATTTTGTTTGTGATATGGGAGCGAAGACGCAGCAAGGTTGTAGTTGTGAGCTCCTCCGAAACATCATCGTTTGCACTAATATTCATAACATTGAAAGCCAATTGCATCAATCTCTTCAAGCGTAATGTTTTTGACTTTACCACAGCATGAGAGCTTTGTCCAACATCACAATAAATCCCTTGTTTTGCAGCTTTTGTCCACCTCTTTAGAATGTATTGTGAAGGAATGCTTGTAACATTTACATGTCTCAAGATGCATAAAGTATGCCTACACAACCATCCTCGCATTTCAAATAACTTGCAACTACATGTAATGGTTAAATCACTTGAACTAAAACAAACAACATGCCTCCGTTCACTACTTTCAGTTGCCACGATATAAGTGTGCACTGGCCCATCAATTTCCGATCTACAAACACCCACAGACAAAGCATGCAAGAACTCATCCTGGAATTTCCAATAAATGACATGAGTGTATAAATTTGCAGCATGTTTCAAAATTCCACTATTTTCAACCATAATCCGCAGCTCTCCTCGAGCACACTCAAAATCATCGACAACTTCAGAGTTGCGCATTTTTTCTGCTTGCTTCTCATAATGATTGACAAATTCAGACAAAGTCATGGTCTTGCATGCCATATCTTGAAAGACGTTATTTGTGCTCTCACTTTTTTGTGTGGATCTAATTCCTGCAGAAAAATTATCTCGGCCAAATGCAGGACACCATTTATGACGTAGCTGATACATGTTATTTAACCACTTGTGATCCCCCAAGCTCCATTCTAGACACATAGCTTTCCAAACATTCTCCATTTCAAATTCAGATTCACAACGATACAAAAGCTTATGCCAATAGTTATCACGAAAACTCGGATTTCTAAGAAGATGCCCAATATGATGCGTAGCATTTTTCGCAATGTGCCATACACATAAACGATGATTAGTATTCGGAAGAACAGTCTTAATGGCATTCGCCATGGCATGATCTTGATCGATGAAAATAGTCTTGGGTGCTTTATTACCCATTGCCTCTAAAAAGGATTGAAATGCCCAAACAAAAGAAGCAATAGTTTCATCCAATAAAAATGCACAACCAAAGAGAACATTCTTCCAATGATGATTCAAGCCAACGAAAGGTGCACATATCATATTGCACTTATTTGTACGGTAAGTTGTATCAAATACCACCACATCTCCAAAACTTTCATAGTCTAGCTTGGATACACCATCAGACCAAAAAAAATTGGTCAATCTTTGTTCCTCATCCAGTTGAAATGTATATGAAAAATTGCTTCCATTTGATTGTAAGTAATTAAAATGGTTAATGAGACTTTAACAATCACCCGCACTAATCAAATCCGTTCTCTTCGATTGTAAGAAATTTTGACAATCACGTAAAGTGAAGCCAATATTCTCTTGTCCTCTCGCTTCACTACTTAGGTAGGAGTACGCTTTCGTAGCCCTTATACCAGCTCTAGCCATAGAAGTCAAAATGCTTTTATTAGTATCTGTCATGTGCCTGTATGATCTTATTAAGTGTTTCTGATTATTGTCAATGAAAGGATGATTATGATCATCCTTAAACTTGTCAACCATCCAAACTCCATTTTCAATTTTGAATCTCATGCAAGCTTGACATCCAGTTCTCTTTACTGTCCTATAAACATCTCTTTGTTCATGAGGTAGGATTGGTGGAGAGTGTCATTCACAATTACAAAGAAATGTGCATGTTCGCAATATTCCTTTTCTATTGTTTGCCTTTTGTCCTCTTCTCACTCCAAACCCCTTGGAAATTGCATATGCATTGTATGTCTTATATGCTTCATCCTCGTTAGCAAATATCATGCCAATTCTAAATTCAAAATCTTTATCGACATTATGCACAATGATATTATCCCCTGCAGCCTCTACAAATTTTTAAAAGAAAAATTCTGATCATTTAAAGAAGGCAGATAAAGTGAAAACAAACTTTAATGCTAAGAAGATGAGTTATACCCATTTGTCCCGAGAACAAATCGAGCTAGCAGTAAAGTACTCGGAATAATCTGTCCAAAATTTGTACAAATGTAAGTTAGTGACCGTAAAAGATTGTGAAGTGTGCATATTTCAATCATAATTTGAAATGAGTGTAATGAAGCATGTCTTAATTCCAGTCTATCGAGTGTAATTCTAGGTCTTTGCATTCACAAAAGTTGGCATTTCTGAAGCACGATCACATACTCGGAAGCAAAAGCCTATTGCAATGTCCGTGGTGAACTTGCCAAATCTACACATTTAAAAAATAAAAATAAAAAAAAACACGATGACTCATAGATATCAAGGATGCTACTGGCGGCAAACCCTCCAGCTAGAAAGACGTAGCAGAAAATTCCCTCATGCACATTTAAAAAAAACACACACACAAATCACATCACATATCTAAAGATAAATCATTTTCAATTTTATCTTTTATTTCAGTACTGATTTGAAATCCAAACTTGAATTTGATTATAGTTCATGTGGAATGTTGAGCCTGTCAGGTGTTTAAATTGGGCTTGATAATGTTAATGAAACTCGTTCATGTTCGAATGTGGTCTTGGCCAAAAAGATTTCAAGTCGTGACTAAGTTGAGTTTAATTGTTAGTGAGGTTGACTGACTCGAGTTACCTAAGGCCCCTGTTCAACTTCATCTGGTATATCTGAAGTGGCAGTGATTTGTTATCGAAACTTGGAACTTCACAATCTCTTTGAGGAAAAAATCTCCAAGTTTGCCTTCATCCTTGTTCTTGAGAGATAGATGAAAGACACTGGCGGAAGGTGGGAGGGCGGAGGCGGAGGCCGCGAGGCTGGCGGAGGCAGAGGTGGGAGGACGGGCTCGGGAGGGCGGAGGACACGAGGTTGAGCCGGAGGCCGCAAGGGGGAGGCGACGAGGCGGAGGCCGCAAGGGGGAGGCAGAGGCGGGAGGACGAAGGCGGAAGGTGAGAGGGCGGAGGCCGCGAGGCTGAGGCGACGAGGCGGAGGCGAGAGGGGGGAGGCGGAGGCTAGAGGGCGGAGAACGGAGGTGAGAGGCGGGAGGGCGGAGGAGGAGGTGGAGGGGGTCTGGGGACCCAGCCACTACGACCGGCTTTCCGCTTTTCACCGGTGGTTTCCGGAGCCACTAACGACGAAAGTGAAGAAGAAAAGCTAAGAACAAGGATGAGATGAGAAGAAGCGTCATGGGAAGGGAAGGAGAAGAGTGTGTTTACACCAAAAAATGACCAACTTGTCGACATGGTCCGTTTGTGCCAAAGATCATCAAGGGACACGTGGCGGAGACTTGAGGTAACGTGGAAGCAAATATCATCAAGTTACCACATGTCAGAGACATGTGTCATGTGTATATATTTACACCCAAAAATGACCAATTTTTGGGTATTATTGACAAGACTGGTCACGACTTCATCAAGGAAATTTTAGTTCTGCGCTAGCTCGGGAAAATGGTCATAACTTCTTCGAGACAGATCGGATTGACCTGATTCCAAAGCCAAAAGAACGAAGACTCCTGGATCTACAACTTTTATGTTTTTGAGTTTTCTTAGAAAATCACTGTAGAAGCCATCGAGGTTAAAGGAAGTCGACGGTCGTGACTTCATCTTGTCGAGGACTTCGACGAAATTTCAGTTCTGTGCTAATTCGGGAAAATGCTCATAACTTCTTCGAGACAGATCAGATTGACCTGATTCCAAAGCCAAAAGAACGAAGACTCTTGGATCTACAACTTTTATGTTTTGAGTTTTCTTAGAAAATCACTGTAGAAGCCATCGAGGTTAAAGGAAGTCGACGGTCGTGACTTCATCTTGTCGAGGACCTCGACGAAATTTCAGTTATGCGCTAGTTCGGGAAAATGGTCATAACTTCTTCGAGACAGATCGTATTGACCTGATTCCAAAGCCAAAAGAACGAAAACTCCTAGATCTACAACTTTTATGTTTTGAGTTTACTCAGAAAATCACTGTAGAGTTTTCGACATTAAGAGGAAGTCGACGGTTATGACTGGTTGGAGATGCAGAAAGAAGTAACCGTCAACATAGTGGAGTCAAAGCAACCGCCAACGTAGTGGAGTAAAAAAAAAAAACCGTCAAGGTAGTGGATTCAACGTAACTGTTGGAAACCACTAAGGAGCATACATGCATATCTTGAGACAACAGTTACTTGGAACCATGATTATGAGGAAGTTATCACTTGTGGACAAGATCGTGAGGCAGTTATCTTGAAAGCAGAATCATGGTATCACATGGACATGAAGACAAGATTTTCGGAATGAAAGAATATGGGCACAACTGTTGAAAACTGCTAAGGAGCAGTTACCACACGATCATTATAAATATCACCGGCCATCTACCGGAGAGGACACCCGACAAAATCAAACAACATGTTATCTTTCAATTATCTTTACTTTCATGTACCGCACTTTATCTTTCCTTAACTGTAGCTTTTCGATTCGCGTCGTCGATTAAATTCCGGCGTGTATCTCTATCCCGAGTGTTGCGTCGTTGATTAAATTCCGGCGTTACATCTTTGTGTACGTGTGCGGCTGTATTTTCAAGCTTTGTCGTCGATTAAATTCCGGCACGGTTTCTACATATAGTCCGGTTCGAAGTTCGGAGTAAAAGTTCGCCGTTTTTCTTTGTCTCCCTGGATATTTCCTGTCCAGAGTCGCCACGGAACCCGGTCTCCTCACATTAAGAACCGAATAATGACTTTCGGTGAATTATATTTCGTCGCGGGAGCATTTTCTGGTGAAACAGAGTGAAAAAGTAATGGAATTCAAACTAACGTGAAAGAGAAAAGAGAGGTAGAGGGGGAGAGAGACACATCAATTAATGCACGTATTTATTGCTTCACTTCCTTGCTCACGCCTCCTCCTATAGGCACAGAGGAGAGAGGGTCTTCTATCCTAGGGCGTCAGAGGAGAGAGAAACCAATTATAGCTTTATTTTTTTTATTCCACGTCACAGCCACATGTCCTATTATCAGTGGTCTACGTGAGTTTACGCACGCCACATAGGCACGTGACGTGGCGTGTGTAAACCACTGAATATTTTCTCCGTCAGCGCTCCCCTTCTCTTCATGAGAAGCCCCACATTTTCTCTGTTTTTTCAAAAAGAAGATGTCGCAAGAAGGCAATTGCTATTTGCTCCGGGTGGTTTCTCATGGATTTTGAACATAGTATTGCAACAGGCAGGTTACACAGAGAACAAAAAAGCTGCAGGTATAACACATAGAGCTCCTTACTAAACTCCAATCTTGGCAAATTTTGTCTCAAACACCTGTTTAGCCAGAGAATCAAAGTCAATCTTATGAGTAACTTTGATTAATCTCACTGTTACGGTCCGTAGCTAAGAAGTGAGAAGATCGAAGATTGACTAATACAATTGCTCGTACACACCTTAAAGCCAGTGTCCCCTGGATTGAAGTAGAACTTCTCTTGGTAACCTGTGGATACAATTCCCTATGAACTCATCATCTATGAATCACATAAATACTCAGGGGCTAAAGCAAAAGCTTCGCCAGCTCAATGCTCCGTTCTAACGCGAAAAGAGGAGCTACAACCCTCAAGAAGTTCGAGGAAACTAATGAATCATAATTGCAAGTTGGAAGGAAAAATCCAGAGAGACAACAACAAAGGAGAAAACAACACCCACGAAACAGCAGCGTACGGCAGAGCCCGGCTAGTCAACTTCCAGCACATAACCTAAGCGCCCCACTTCACATACCAGCCAAGCCAGTCGAATCCATCAAAGCAAAGCTTGGGACCCAGCAGCTGCGACCGGCGGACAAGCGCCACGTGGACTCATGAGCGGTCGGGGACCTTGCTTACTTGGCTATCCCGGATCGCCTAATATTTTCTTGTAGTGAGTGATTTGGATAAGCACCATGACACGTGGAAAATGCTGACGTGTACTGCATCTCCTACCTCTAAAGGTCGGGAAGGCCGGAAAGGATCGTCTCCTTTCCTCCCGACGACAAAAATCTCACCATCTTCATCACACTCCTCTCTCTCTCTCTCTCTCTCTCTCTTTCTACGCTCCGATCGTCCCCGCAGGCTTCGGCTTTTCATGGCTCTGTGCAGGCGAAGGCCTCGCGCCGCTCTCGAGCGCATCGCCTCCCAGTTCGAGCTCCTGAAGCAGAGCCGCTCGACGCCCTCGCCGTCTCCTCTGATCGGCGCGCCGAAGCTGATCGGCGGTCCGCGCGCCGGTTGGCCCCCTCGCCGTTTCGAGTCGACCGTGGCCGAGAAGCTCCCCCGGTTCGCCGGTGGCGTCGCCGGCAATCTGGTATAAATTTTTTTTTTTTGGATAACTGCGGTTTATGGGCATGCTTTGTTTGGGTTGCTTTTCGTGCTTTTGAGAGACGGTCGCTTTGGTGGAGTGGAGTTCTTTGTGGCCTCGGGTTTCGCTGCATTTGTGTTTGGAGTTTGGTTTCGAGGGCAACTGCCGAGTTTGTTTATCGTTGAACTTGTAATCTTCTCAAGAGTTGATTGCTTTATGGAGACGGATTAGACTTAAGCTTTGCGTATCGAGGTTCTAGCTACTGCGTTGGACTGCTATTCGAAATTATGGGATGGTGGGCTTGTGAAGTGATTCGTGACTGAGTTTAGACTGATCGATATTGGGAACATGGAGCGAAAGGGATGATCATTTGCATACTTGTAGTCTTTTGAAAAGGAAGCGCGAAACGCGTAAAAAATACGAAAGTGGGTAATGTTCTGTTTCTAAAGTTCTATCAGGCTCTACTCTTTCTGGGTATGAACTTGTTCGGGTCTGTGATTGTTGGCTTAACGACTGACACGATCCATCGACATTCATTTCTTTATAAAGGCTTTCTGGTATACAATTGAAGTATGGTCCGCGTCATGTTAGATGGATTGTAATTTAAACAAGTATGACTTTGCAATACTGTCTAAAAGATGTATTTTGACTTTGCATGTGACTTTGTTCCATCAAACTAAGGATGACATTGCAGTAGCACCCGAATCATCACTGTGTACAATAGAGAAACTCCCATCCTCTTCAATTTCGTGAACTATATAAGACAGGAAAAACCGCCTTGTCTTCAGCTTCACTACTGTGCATTGTGATGCTTGGATCTGTCCAATTCCCTCATGAAGTGGTTTTATTTAGCTTCTGATGGAACACGATCCAACTTGGTGATGATTGAGTAGAGAAGAAAACTTTTTTAATTAATTTATGTTATTTGCACAACCAAGAAATGCAAAGATCTTAACTATGCACCTCATGTAGGTCTGTCTTATTCAATGGATGTAGTATGACGGGTGAGTAGATCTGGTTTCTTGTCTAGTATTCAGCCACCATGGCATTTGGTGTTTATGCCCGTGCGATATCCACCTCTGTAGTTCTCAAAGCGACTCCATTTGATCTTGAATGTGTCTGCATAACTGATATTTTCTGCTATCCAATTTGATATGTGGATAGAAGTGGCAAAGGGCACTTTTTATCACCGGTTTCTAGAATGTAACATTGCCACTCTACTGTGAAGCTTTATCTCTTGGAGGACTGCAAAAGCTTTCAATTCTCATTAAAAATCTGGACTTAACATTTTGGTGTAGATTAGCCAATTTACCAGATGTTTGGTTTGGGCAGACAATGGACTTTCCTGGTGGTAAAGTTACATTCACACCTAAGATGAGTTTCATATCTGAGTCTCCTGAGGAAAGGGCACATTGCTACAGGGTACTAGATGAAGATGGTCAGCCACTAGCTCACAGCAGCTTCATACAGGTATCACCAGGTTACAAATAGATCGTCTTGCCTTTAGCATTTCTTAGTGGATTAGACTTTGCTTTGTTCCCTTCCATCGTGTATGTTTTAGTCTTACGGACGTTGATGAACTAGGTCAGCGAGCAAGTTGCTGTGAGAATGTATAACGAGATGGTTACGCTTCAAACAATGGATAATATCTTCTTTGAAGCACAAAGGCAAGGAAGAATCTCGTTTTATGTGACCTCAATTGGAGAAGAAGCGATTAACATTGCATCTGCAGCAGCCCTCACATTTGATGATCTTGTCTTCCCCCAGGTTATAACTTATATCCTATAGACACGCATGTCCAACTCTTACATTTGTTTGATGTGGCTTGTCACTTTATGGTACAATTGTTAAGAAAGTAGTAATAAAGTAATGCGAGTCTATGAAGATTGGAATCAACTATGGCCCAAAGCATTCAATAAATGATTGGAAGAATCAGTACAGAATGTTTGATGGGATAAAACTGAATCATGAGATGATTTATAGTAAAAAGTAAAGGATTTAGCTCATCTTTTTCTCTTTTTGATGTGTAACAATTGAAATATGCCAAACTTGCCTTTCACTTGTTTATCTGGCATTCAAGACTTAAGACAGACACGGCGATGTTGAAGCTTTTTCTGATTGATACAGTACAGGGAACCCGGAGTTCTCCTCTGGCGTGGATTTACATTACAAGAATTTGCAAATCAATGTTTTGGAAACAAAGCTGACTATGGGAAGGGCAGGCAGATGCCTATTCATTATGGGTCTAACAAGCTAAACTACTTTACTGTTTCATCGACAATAGCGTAAGACACAAGCTTCTGCATATAAGATTACTTTTGAAGAACTTAATTTTCCCTATTCCTTGGAGATTAAAGGCACCTACATTTGATGCAACAGTACACAAATTCCCCATGCAGTTGGTGCAGCATATTCTTTGAAGATGGATAAAAAGGATGCTTGCGTTGTCACTTATTTTGGAGATGGTGGTTCTAGTGAGGTAAATACATATCTTTACATTTGTGGTGTTCCTGCTGAGGTAGTAGAGCTAGGAATATACAACTGCATAAACTTGTCCTGTTCTATATATGTGACGTTCATTCTGTCTTGGATGTTGTTATTTGAGACAAGTCTGTAAAAGAGAATGTTTCCCAATTATCATATTGTACCTCCTCTGAACACCAAAAATAAGCCGATTTATCATTGTTATTTGCTGCCTAATACTTGACTATGCTATGACAGGGAGATTTCCATGCTGCTATAAATTTTGCAGCAGTTCGGGAGGCCCCAGTTATCTTCATCTGTAGGAACAATGGATGGGCCATCAGTACGCCGACCTCAGACCAGTTCCGAAGTATATAGGGCTTCCACTGTTTGTTTTGCAAGGCCATTCTTTATCTTGATAAACTTTCAATCATGGAGTTTTATGAATTGGCAGGTGATGGTATTGTTGTTAGAGGCCCGGCATATGGAGTACGCAGCATCCGGGTAGATGGTAATGATGCCCTTGCCATGTATGGTTCCGTTCGAGCCGCTCGTGAAATGGCAATTGGCGAACAGAGACCCATCTTGATCGAAGTAAGAAAGTTTTACTCGTTTTTTTTTCCAGCCCTGCACCAATTGGAAGTTTCACTGATCTTTGCCATTGATAGGCCCTGACATATCGAGCTGGACACCACTCAACGTCAGATGACTCCACCAAATATCGTCCTGCCAATGAAATTGAATGGTGGCGAACAGCTAGAGATCCTGTAAGTAGACTTAGGAAATGGATTGAAAGTAATGGTTGGTGGAGTGAGGAGGCCGAGTCAGAGCTCAGAAGCAATGTTAGAAAGCAGGTACTTAGTGTCTGCCCATAATGAATCTTACTAATGGTCGTAGAAAGATTAGTTGCCAAGGAGAGCCTCGTCTCGGCTTTTGATCACCACATTCTGCATATTTCTTCTAGCAATTGTTTAGCAGCCTAGGATGTTTTTTCTTTGTTCATTTTAAAATACTAATTTTCAGAATCCTACACTTTTACTCTTCTGCTGCAGCTATTACATGCAATTCAAGTGGCAGAGAGAGTTGAGAAGCCACCGATTTCTGACCTTTTCACAGATGTTTATGACGTGCCTACTTCGAATCTACTAGAGCAGGAGATGTTGCTGAGAGAAACCATCAACAGATATCCACAAGATTATCCAGGGGATGTTCCTGTTTAGATGGGTTTGAATGTAACAAATCATGAACGTTATTTCTTCTGTTTCTTGTGAATGATATAAACCATAAGCTCTCCCTTTTATTTACTACTCTTTCCACATCAGTTTCAAGTTATTTTATTGTCTTGAGAGAGAGAGAGAGAGAGAGAGATCAGGATACAATCAGTGGGTGAAAAAGGATAAAACGGTTGAAAAATGCCGAAGATCCTATTATGTGAAGTGTTCCATCTATTACAAAGAGATAAATTGTCTAAATAGCTATCTTGAAGAACTAGGACCAATTGGGCTCTTGGATGAAGATATAAAAGAGGAGAAACTGAGAACTGTTAAACTAACTGATTGAGGAGATGACTCAACTATGCAGCTTTCCATTCCATGAATTCCCTCGCCGATAGTGAAGAACGATTCTGAGGGCTAAACAACAATCCTTGTATCATTTGTCAATCGTCATTTCTTCTTTAGAGGACCTCAATTTTTGCCATGCTGCATGTGTGACAGCACCTCAATCGTCTGTGATTGTCTGGAAACGATCAGAAAGACTCGTGAATAACAACAGATTGATTTAGTTCTCGAGAATCTAGATAGAGTGCGAGTGTGATGACGCCGATGAGTATATGGCGAGGGTAGAACATGTTAAGCGCACGATCCAATACTTCCTCAAAATATCCCGTGCATGTAGATTGCTCCATCAACTAGTGAAGTATCTCGGGGCTTTTGCTAGTCATGTCATCAAGTGGTAAATGGTTGTCACTGATTACAGGAAAAGGATGAATCTCTGACAGAAGATGTGCGTGCACAGGCACAGAGAAATGCAGAGAGGATTGAAAGCTTGAAGGCGCCTTCTCTACAGCTTCTCTGTGTTTCTGTACCCCATATGAACATAACTTTTTAAAAGTGGGAGAGATGTAGTCTCAAACAAAAACCGAGATAGTAAACATGATTATAAGCACAGTATGCTGAAATGGAGATGCAACTAGAATGCTCCGACACAAAATTGAGGATAAACCGATTGTTCACACATTCTTCTATAGTTCACTCACTGTACCATACAACTTTATGAGACTCCATAAATAAAAAAGCCTTTGTAACATGTCATAAAGTTTTTTTTACAATGTCAAGACGTGTTGCCTTAATCAAGTGAAAAAGTTCTATAAAAAAATTGTTGTACAATACACTACTGTACCTTACAAATGCCACATTTATATTTTATAGTTGCATCTCAACTATCTATATGCCAGAGTAATATGCAAAATCTGAGTGTCAAGAAAATCTATATGGCAGAACAATCACCTTCCAAAGTTTGTCAGGTTCATCTAGGATGTTGTAGCTGTCTCTTGCATGCTGGAAACAACACCCGGATGGATGAGTATAATTGTTTTCTTCCTCCACTAAATTTTGTAATGATACAAGAATCTAACGGTGGAAGAGACTTAACAAGCATTACCGCAAGGCAATCATCCTCACTCTGGACAGAAATGGTCTACATACTTGGGAGGTTCTAACACATGCGAAAAAAGAATCTTGCTGCAATCACATTTCTATCCTGATCTCAGACAACCAACGCATTAAAGGCTGACGAAAATAGAAAGTATTTGGTAGTGAGTGTAGGGCAAGCAACAGGTAGTTACACTTAACAAGTGCTAGCAATGTCTTGAACATGTGTACTCTAGTGAATATCCGAGAGCAAAGACTATAATTTATGTAATAGTCAAAAGAAAATCCTCGCACTCACAAGATGAGAAAAATCAGTTTTTGCTGACACCTTAAGTAATACAAAGCATAATACCTGCTTCCTTGATCATTCAGTGGTACCCTTAGCTATTCTTCTCCAATATTATCCCTGTCAATTCGTTGAAAACCCACTTTCCATGCTCCAAAATCGATAGCTTGAAGAGAGATATGACCCAGATATAAGTCGCTTAAGTGTTTATCACACAACCCAAACCGCCTCTTATTCAAGCTGGGGTGGATGCAACTGGAGAAACCTGTCTTCCATCCTGGGAATTTCTGCCTTTCCATCACATTAAGGGTGTAGACACTTGGTGCGCTAGATGAGCAACCCATAACAAAACAGTTGCAAGGTCGTGACTGGCTGGTTATTCTTGCTAGAGATAGCAAACAGGTGCCAGAATGTAGAAGTCCATACATTAGGGCCTCATCATTATCAAAGGCCTGAGACTCTGATGGTACGTTTGCCACCCCTTGATCCAACTCTTGGGTTGAGGGAATTCTTCCTAAATCTGCATCAAATCGTTTTTCTACCTTGTCTTCATGCATCCGGTATTTGGATGCCAGAGTTCGGATGCAAGATTTTCTTGCATGATCACAAACTATCAGCTTTAACTCATTGAAGTTGTTGCACTCACTAAACCATCTAAGGCAACGGCGAACAATGCCTGAAAACCAATCAATAATTTTGTCACTGTCTTGTAATATAAGTGGGGTTGCTGAACGAGCATATCCCCTTGAGTTTGTCACCTCATATCGTAAAAGATGCTTTTCTATGACATGAACAGGTGCATTAATCTCTGTACTAGTGACAGGATCGGAAGACTTGGGCAAAAGAGCAAGAGTGGAAGCTGTCTCAGAAGCCACATACTCATCCACACGCTTTTGGAATTCACAGAAACTGTCAATCAATTCTGTAGGAAGAGAAGGTTCAGCAACATATCTAGATAAAATTATCTCCTCACTTTCTGCAGATTTGGCATTCACATTTAGCATCCATATTTTCAACAAGAGCTTGTACCAGTGATCCGTTTCCATACCAGCTTTCCGGTAGCAAGATATCTGGCTTAAAACTGAACTTTTATCAGCCAAATTCCTGATTTCAGACTCTTTAACCTTTTTTAAGCCATGAGCCAACCACTTTTGTCCAATTCGAATTGTCCCAGCATTCCAAGCAGTTTCCTTCTGCAAAGCAAATAGCTTGACCTTATCTTTTAACTTGTGAACAGCTCTCACTGCCGGACTTTCCTCCACTCTTCTTGTAATGAGAAGACCAAGAAAGCGAATTCCATGAGGTCTATCGCATGGTAAGACTCCAGATAGACTATTAGCTTCCAGGTACAAAGTATTCCGCATATAACTTATAATCTCATGCATTAGATTAATGGCAATGTCTTCGGATCCAGAAACGGCACAAAATATTTCATCCATAACGCGACAACAATAAACTCTTATATCCGATTTCGCATTAATAATGTTCTTTGCTTCGCTTGCTTCAGATTTCCCATTGATAATGTTCTTTACTTCACTTGCTTTCATCTGTCTTTGAAACCAACGACGCAATGTTGAAGGGGATCCACTTTGATGAGCATCAGAACCAGAACTAAGAGCTTCATATTTCATTGATAATTTAAAAAATTCGCAGTCAAATTGGTCAAGATAAATATTCATCAATATAGGGGACAAAATACCTTCTTGTGGTAGACCATGACCTTTTGGGAAGCCCCCAAACTCCAAATTCAGCACATGTGCCTCAAACATGCGTAGCATGAAGGTACATAAGCAAGGATCTTCAATCTTCTCCTCCATAATCGATACAAGTTGGGTGAAATTTGAAGCATCCATTTTCTTGTTCAAATGCAATGTAAACCACCAGTCGGGGTTTGAAATCTCCTTGCATATATATTTTAGTGCTGTGGAGTGACTCCTACCACTTCGACAACCATGTGATATCTTGGAAAAATGAGGCCTATAAACAACTTCCAGGACTATCCTGATAGCTTCTTGAACAACTTTCAGCTTCAAATTTGGAAGGATGAGAACTTCTTTCTTTGCACCCCTTGTCGAGATGGAGTAAGTATTTGCCTTGACATCAAAACTCCCTGAATGGAGCTCCTTAGCTGTGGATACAAAAGACATGTTGGGTTTAGTCATCGAAACATCAACATTCGAGTTGAGCATTATGCAACCGTAAGCATCTTCAAGAGTTTCTGGGTGGGCAACAACATTTTCCATGAGAAAATGGAACTTCCCATTCATATATTGCTTCTTAACCCTCTTCTTTATACGGAGTTCAAGAAATCTTTTGAGCTCCATGCGGCCTCTAGGCTTTCTCTCTTCCAGAATAGAAGATTCATTGATAAGACAGGCCAAGTCTTGAGCCAGTGTTGCTTTTCCTACATCATCGGCTACGTTATTTAAAATTGGAAAGGCGGAATACATTGCATGAGCTATTTTCCTCTGATCTGGTGTACCTGCAGAACAGAATGATTCTCTAAATTGAGTGATAGCATGAGTGGCAAACCTCATTAAGGATCAATTAGAGAAACAAACCATGAGCACAGGGACTCAACAGCTTACAGAATTCCCCCATTTTGCTAAGCATCTTGTAGATATGCTTTTACCAGAAAAAAAACAAGTAAAAGAACCAGAGAGAGGGTGTGTTTGTTTATGCTGTCCATAAGTCATTTAAAGGTCATGATAGTTTCAATATACAAAAAGAAAAAGAAAACAGAGTCAAATGCATGTGCTGAAAGATTTAAAATTAATCACAAAGTCAAAAGTAAAAGTCAATCCAAACATGCTCAAAATCCATCAACTCAAGATTCCCATTAACTGATATCTCTTCATAGGATCATACCAATCCACTTCACCTGACAAACAAACCACGTTTTACATATAGACAGAGCTCATCACTGATTTGTACAGATAATTTGCCAAATGGTTTCAACATTCTGAAGTGGAGAACAGATTGAGGTCACTTGTACAGTTTGAAAAGTTGTCTGAGTTCTGTGAAGCCTGTGTTACTGCAGCAACTCTTTGTGTATGAAAAGCTTACCGGCTATTTTCAATGACGAGCATACGTCAACAAACTTTGCACTCCGCAAGTCAACAAGTTTAAGCAGATTTCTCCTGCAAACACCCCGCAAGCAGGGTAATGCCATCACTCTTGTAGACTATACACCCATGCCACATTCTTGAAGGAGCGGTTCTACACACAGACAAAAAGGGCAAGAAAGAAAATTGGCAAAGAAGGTCAAAAAAGTAAATTTTAAAGCTTTAAAGAATGGACGATGAAAACGGGCCAAGCTAAAGCCAGTCCTTGCATAGACATTACGTCAAACAGGTGTGGTGTGGTGCAACAATCATATTTTCTTCAGCCAGAAAAACCCCATCTCCTCACCATTCTGACCCAGATGATATCAACCGCAATTACTGGTAACGAACGATTCCCAGACAGACAATTCACGGTTAAACCCGGGAATCGTATTCACGGAAGAAGTTCGACAACATACTCAAGAAAGCATCTTCCTCCTCCTTCGAACCGAGCAGCCCTCGCGTCCGAAGCACCGGCACGACGACAAGAGAACACCCATTTGGCACAAGAACCTGATAGATCCCGGGAAAGAAACAGAGATCAGTGCGCGCTGCAGAGAACGAGGACTTCCCCCCAACAATTTCCGCTTTTGGGTTTCCGAGGACAGAGACGAAAGAAGAGCGAGCAAAGCTTGCCAGGGGAAGAGAACAAGACAGAGAGACCAACGACGGAGCGAATGTTTCCCGGTCCGAGCGTGCGACCAAGCGAAGCGGCGGTTGCGCTTCCTTCCGCCACAGTTAATACCGTTAACGACCGCTGCGCGGACACCGCCGGACGGCGGCGGTTGTTATACTTACTAGAGACTGCCCCGCCGGTCGCGCGAAAATAAAAATAAAAAAACATTGCTTTGACTAATTAAAATGAATTATCGTAATAATAATTTTTTCTGCTTTTTTAAATTATTTTAGTATTAAGGTTCCGTTTGTTTTGAGAAAAATGAATGGTTTGGAAAAAAATTTCTTAAAAATAATCGTTTCTATTGCTAATAAAAAAGAATGAATGAAAAATATTTTCATAGTTCACAAAATATTTGGACATAAATTGTTGTTGATAATAAAAATATTTTTTATCGATTAATTATTTTAAACGATACAAGTAATTATTTTTTGAAAAATTAATTTTAAATCATTCTTTTTTTGCGAAACATACGAAACCTAAGAATCTCTATTTTTTTTTTCAAATAATTGGAGATAGAATTGACACTAAACAAATTTTTCCATATAATTTTATAACTCAAGCTTCTTTTTTTTGGGGGGTGTTAAAAGGCAACATCTTCTTTCCTTTTTTTACCACATAACTTGACTCTCTCTCTGTCTCACTTTTCATAATTTCTCAATAATCACTCATGTATCACTTTTAAACGGTCTTGCTTTTATAAAAAAAAATTTCAATTTCATTTAAATTTTTGCTCCTTATAATGATTTAACCGCGTTCTAAATATCACAATGATGAAGAAGAACAACAAACAATTGTGTTCCAATTCAATTTTGGACTTCACCGTGCAAGTAACATGGGAGTTGTTCAATGAACTTCGCATGCCGGGGTTGGGGTAACTAGTACAATGTCGCATGCCGGAAGCCTGTTCAAGTACGACGAGGCGAGAATTTAGCAAGAGTTTGCATATCATTGTCTTGCCACTAAGAAACCCCTTAGCTTCACCCAAACATCCCTGTTTTGACCACTATACAGGCAAACATCTTTGCAACTTCAGTTCAAGCCTAATTTGCCGATCATAACCACCAAAAACAGCAAGTCACTGTACGAAGAGAAAATGGCAACATTGGTGCATCTGCCGTCGACAGACAACTTTCGAGTTTCTTTTAAGTTCTGATTTAATGCAATCTGAGTTGCTCCCTTAACTCGAATTTTCTCATCGCACTTCAGTTGCTCCCTTGAAGTAAAGCTAAATTTAATTGTTGACAAAAAGACAGAAAGGACCGCATCCTTCGCGCCGCATTGCACAGGCTGCATCGATGCCATAGGGGCAAAAAGAGTAGTGCAGTAGCATCACCGTGAGGAAGGTTTCTCCTCCAAGGATTCTCTTACAGCCTTCAAGATTGATGGCATCAACTTTGGATTGGTTGCTATAATCCCAGTGTCCGAGTCAAGGAGTCGTCCTTTGGAGAAATCTAGAGGTCGTCCGGCTGCATCGATCACGACTCCTCCGGCCTCTGTGATTCAAAGAAGAGGGTCTCATTTGACGCAAGAACCAAGACATAAAACTCCTCTCGTTCTAGAAGGGACAAGACAAAAGCTTCCTAGTACTTTCGTTAGTGAACATGCAGATAAGCAACCAGCTATTCCTGCTAAAGCCGCATTATGATCCGTCAAAGGTCTAATTGAGCTAAATAAAGTAACAGGGTCCGAAGGTAGAGCTACCCAAACCACAGTTTAGCAAGTTCCGTAAATAAAAAACTAGAGAGAGAGAGAGAGAGAGAGATGCATTTTCTTGCCTTTTGATACTTTCAAAGCTGCCTAATCATTCCAAAAAGAAAAAAGTATAACTAGAGAGAGAAATTTTTGTACCAGTAACAACAATGCTCCCAGCAGCATGATCCCAAATTCTCTCACGGTACCCTTTGCGAGGGAAGCGCATGTATATCGCTCCATCACCTCTGGAAATAGCCCCGTATTTGGCCTGGCTATCTATCCTCACTGGTGGGGCTTTGACACCTAGTTTCTGCTACAGAGAGTTTTCCTCAGAGATCTCTTGAAGATCATTATGCTGCACTTGATCTTGGAGAGAGAGAGAGAGAGAGAGAGAGAGAGAGAGATTACCCTGGCAATGGAGCTTGTCAAGTCCTGCAAGGAGTGTGCTTTCTCAAATGGTTCAAAGAATGATGCGTCTTCCGAATTTCCAATATCACTGACATGAACCTGCACTTATACTCAACATGTGATGTTCCTCTCGAAGTTCAATAGCAGTTACGGCTCAGAACATGCCAAAGGATGAGAGAGAAATTATATGAGAAAAGGTCACCTTGCAGGACCTGAGAACAGGGCCTTTTTCGACCATGGAATCCGAAATCATGCATGATAAAGGTGGAGAGAGATTAGTGAAGAAGAAATTATAACAACCTTCACTGGTGATGATCCATCCAATGACTGCATGAAAGTCCCTGAACCAACTTTTGCATAGAACAGACAGCCAACGGCATTTTCCGATGGCACATTCCCAGCGATAGATGCTAATGGAAGATTTGGACAAGCGAGGACACCCAACACTACTTTCCCATTATCTAATAAAGCTAATGCTACTGCATATTGATCCCCCCTCACAAACCTGCAAGGTAATCTCATTGCATAAATCCTTCCATACTAGTTGATACTTAACGAGTTGGCAAAAAGCAGTGATAAGCTTCATCATAGCAGTTACAAAAGAGCACAAAAGTAAATTGACCTTACGATGAGGCCTCCACAACGATGAAGGATACGAATGATAATTAAGGGAGGTAATTGTAAAATTGTGCAATGGCCCTTGTATCTTTTAAAGAGACTTCCTGGAGTGCCAAGAACTATTAGTTATATATCCCATGAGTATTGGCCGAATCTGGTCAGCAAAAGTCCTGATAAAGCCCATTCATCGCCAAAATGTTGCAGTATGGCAAAAGATTCGTACCAAACTTGTCCCCAATAAGTAGTATTAATTCTTTTAAAGCATTTGTTCAGTAAATACAGAAAACATTGTCTCACATGCACCAGTTAAAATCAAGTCAAAAGACCTCAGCACGTAGAAACAACAGCAGATAGAGACAGAGAAGAATCAATACATGCTCGATTTGCCTCCACATGTTGAGGAAAGGAGGATGAAACTATTCAATAGCCATTAGTAATTGAAACAAGAAGAAATTATCAATTTCTCTGCTGCTAGCAGCTGCGGAGAAACAAGGATTTTAAGAAGTTGTTCCCTTTGTGAATGAGAAACTCGAGATAAAAGAAACATCAAAATCTGAAAGAAAGGAAAGATGATGTGAATACTGATTGGCAGAATGGAAAATACTTCTTGTACCAGCAATTCTTACCAAAATCATCAAGAAATGGAAGGCTCGTATCCAAGAATCAAAGAAAAAATTTGCGTATTTTCAATTTCTCTGCTACTAGCAGCTGTGGAGAAACAAGGATTTTAAGAAGTAGATTCCTGTGTGAAAGAGAAAAATTGAGATAAAGTAACATCAAAATCTTAAAGAAATGAATGATGATGTGAATACTGATTGGCAGTATGGAAAATATACTTCTTGTGCCAACAATTCTTACCAAAATCATCGAGAAATGGAAGATTTGTATCCAAGAATCAAAGAAAAAATTTGAGTATGCCTCTGAGTTTATGACACAAGGTTCCAAGGGCTAAGCCATTTTATAGCATCTTCTCTTTTTAAAATTTTGATAAACATATCCTTCATGCTTTAATTACCTTATGCAAAGAGTATCCCATTAAGTAACAAATAAAAATTGCCAAAACAGTTTTTCCCACCAAGGCTCTGTATTACTCTCGGATACTGAAATTTCGAGAAGTAAACGATAGAGGAAAGTTGTAAATGAAAGACAAACCCACGCTCCCAGAATAGGTTGCTCACCCTTTAGTACCATCAATAGGATCCAAGACCCAGTGTCGACCAAAAGAGCCACCTTCTGACTTCCCACTGTCAATTGCCGTAAGTATATCTTCTGGTGATAAAGTACAAGCACTATATGAACCATCAATTGCAATAGTTTCATTTACAAGCTTTGTTATGCGCTGGAGGGTGTCTTTTCCACTATCCTTGCAAAGATCTCCCGAATCCTGAGAAAAGTGAGAGAACCTGAAGATGAATTGTCCATGTTATCAGAAAATAGATTACCACGACTAACCATCAAATTACTGCATACTAACCTCCTCAGCCACTAAAGAGACTGGTTCATCTGAAAGCTCTCTTTCCAGCACAAAACTAACAATAGCTTGTGAACCTGTCATCCAGCAAATGAAGAATCACTCCATTTAGGCCAAAAGGGTGAAGGAGGATAGGTATTTACTCTCTTCAGACATAACAAAACATGCATGACTGATGAACAACTGGCCTATGATTTTTTTCATTTTTCAAATAGGAAAAGGAAAAAATCTTCCGACCTTTAGGACGCAATCAGCACCTTCTGAAGGACATGATCTTCTTTCTAACCAGAATTTTTATGAAAAATAGACAGAGGACCAAAGAAGATTAAGCAATGAAAATAAGGCTGGAGTGCACAGATTCTCAAGGCAACTGTGCAAAAAGAGAACTTTGTAAACCATCTCGATCAGAATGGAACATAAGAAACATTGGCATGACAATTGCCTGCATTCTCCTCAGTCCTGACTCCACTAGAGTAATGGAACATTTCGCATCTAGAATTATTTCTCTCATAGATAGTCTTCAAGGTCATCAAACCAAAGATAGAATTATCAGAAATTTTTTTAAAAAAGAATCCAACTACAAGAACAGTACTAGCTTAAAGAGCTCTTTCCAAAAGACAAATCAGATGCACCAAGCTTCTCCCAGTCTTTGGAACAGGTTAAAGGACTGACTGGTTATCCAGTTACAAAATCCAACCCACTAGGATTTCGCTTCCATAACTGTTTAGAATTCCGATGTTACCAAAATCTTGGTCTACCTGTCAAGTTGTCTCAATCACAGGAGTACTTTATGTATACAATAGACATAATCTACCGGGGGCTGGTGATTCCACAGCACAACCTGACTTATATACTCGTTCCAGAAACACCCATGTCCATATCGAAATCCGTTATCACCTCGGTTCTTGCCTTCAAGAAAATACATGTGTGTATATATATATATAGGGAGCAACTTTTATTGATCGAAATAACCAGCAAGGAACAAACAAAATATCGTACTGAAGACCAACCATAATCTGCCACTGTGACAGGAGTTTTGTCTGATTTCCATTGAACATCTGATTGCGATAATGCTTTTTGCACTTTCTACAATATATAGAACAGCGAGTAAATACTAGAAAGTATCTATCGAAAACAGAACATCGTACCGACTTCACGTGACCATTTCGAAAGAGAAGTATCAAGAAGTTACTGAAGATGACGAATAGTATAAGAAACAAGAAGTGATAGCAATGAACTTCAGAAACCCAAAAAAAAAAAAGTAACCCTTTTCATCAGCAGGAAAGCCATTACAAGAACGAATGATACCCATATGAATTTTTTGAAAAAAGAAGAACAATTTCGCGGATTCATTCGAATGAAGGAGAGCACAAGCAGGGTTGATCAAGAAGCACGAATGCCTCAACTGCTCTTCATGAGTTCAGTGCCTACTCGTAAGCAAATCCAACCCGAGAGAGAGACGAGACCTGGCAGAGAGAAGCGGCGAGAGAGGCGGCCTTCTTGGCGGCGGCGAGCTCCTTATCATACGACATGGCGGGAGCGGAGGAGGAGGAGGAGGAGGAGGAGGAGACGACAAAAGCCCGGGAGGTGACGGAGCGAAGAGAGAGAGGAGATGTGGGGGGGTTGACGAATGCGGGTCTTCGACAGTCAACTGCTCTCCAATAGCTCGCCGACAGTCGTCGAAGTAGCTAGCCGCAGTCCAGATGTTTGTGCTTCCACCTGCTTCTTGACTTGGACTTATCCTCGGCAATCGGTTTTTGAGCAGATAGATTCGAAATTTAGAATATAATATTTGAGAGAAGTGGTAAATCTAGAATATCTTATTCCTTTTTCTTTCTTTTACAATTAAAGGAGAGATCTATTATCATTTTTCGCATGACAACGGAAATTTATAATAGGTGAAAATTCTCCCAATTTATAGCCTATTATATGATCTATTATATAAATAGGCGAATGCTCCCTTCCATTATGGATAGCAATAGTATGGAGCTGCATTTGGTCGTCCGGATTTCTAGCCATGATAGGATTGGATATGATAGAATATAAAATCCAAGAGATTTGCTATATCCTATTTACTGTTTGATTAATCGCAGTAATAAAACCGGATATTTTCACATATTATCATATTCATTATTTGTTATGAACGTTATATCAGTGTAAATGAACCTAAAATTGCACAAATGGAGATGATAAAAATTTCTCACAACACTCTCACCTATTTCATTTTTGTTTATTTTTTGTTATTTTTCCATCTCTTTTTTAATTTTTTTTCTTTTTTATTTCTTCGCCTTCCATCATTCTCTAATAAAATTTTATTAAATAGTAAACTATACAAATATCCCTAAAATATGTAATAAATATAAATACTAAATGAGTATAATATATATAATTTATATCATAAGATAGAAAGAAATTTGAATATATAAATAAAAACGAATTTATTGTTATTTTTTTGTTATTTCGAATTTTTTATATTAAAATTCAAATATTATTTATATACAAATATTATTTTAATTTTATTAATTTAACAAGTTTGTTATTCGAGAAAAATAACTTTTATGTTATGGATATTAGAAATCATATCCACCTTTACCCCACCTCTTTCATGGGATAATTTTATTCGGGTTATATCCCTTCTATATCTGACTTTATCTTATCTTGAGCAGACACCAAACACGGGATATGATAAAATTTATCATATCCGGATTTTTATCCTGACTACTAAACGTAACCTAATAGCTATCCACGGATACCCATTATTAGCTTTTTGAATCTGGAACTGATTTGGTTTCCCATTTTTTGAATCGGAAACCGACCTCGATGATCTAGGAACCGGCTTGAAACCAAACCAGTAGCATCAAACATGAATACAACTCTTTCTACTTGAAGATAATATATCAAACAAATTCGATTAAAACAGATATTTTTTGTTTTAAAGAAAGAGTAAAATAACCTACTTATGATAAACCTCTTCAAAACCCTAGACCGATCTGGCAAGTTCCCGATTCTTGGTTTTCAGGTAGAATTAGCTGGCTCAGGGTATAGAATCGGCAACTAAACCATTCAAAGCCGGTTTCCATTTTTTGAAATTGAAAAGCGAACTAGTCTCCTTGTGGACCAGCCTTGAATCGACCGAGTAAGGCCTATTTGGGCCAGTTCCCAGATTGTGATAGAGGCTAACTATATCACGGGGGCTGAATAGGTGATTTCATGAGATCTTAACAAAATATTAAGGAATTAAATAATTCAAGATGAATGTGATTAGCCATAAATAAAACAGAGAGTAAATATGATAGGATTTTGGTAATATCCAAGTTTTTTTCTTTTTTCGGTTTGATGGTAATATCCAAGTTATTGAGTGCAGTTATTCTATCAAGCAGTAAATAAGTATAAGTAGAGAGATAGAAAACTTTGCACACAGAGCTTGTAGTGGTTTGCCTTGTTGTAAGTCTATGTCCACTCTCCCCTATTAACAGCCTACTAGAAATCTACAGAGAGTAAATATGATCAGATTTTGGTAATATCCAAGTTTTTTCTTTTTTTGGTTTGATGGTAATATCCAAGTTATTGAGTGCAATTATTCTATCAAGCAGTAAATCAGTATAAGTAGAGAGATAGAAAACTTTGCACACAGAGCGTGTAGTGGTTTGTCTTATTGTAAGTCTACGTCCACTCTCCCCTGCTAACAGCCTACTAGAAAATCAATGAGAAATTACAGTAGTAAGTGCTACTTATTCTCAAGTACTTCTCCTCGAAGTTGGTGATACTTATACACAAGCAAATAAGACTCTATCTCATACCAAAGCACTAACTATCACATTGCTCACACTTTTCAATTGATTACAATTGTAAGCTTACAGAAGAAAACTAGAATTTGTGAAGTTCTCTCAAGTTTTGGAATAATTTTCTCACGGTCTATCTTTCTCTTCAACGCCTTGATCTTCTTTTATATTACTCAGCATCCAAAATTTCCTGTTGGATAATCTTCTATGAGAATCAATCTACATGCTAGCCGTTGGACGATTGATAAAAAGATTAGGGTAGCCGTTGAGTCGGAACAATCAGAAATCCTATCGATTTAGTTGCCCATACAAACAAATCTTGATTTTCAAATGTGGTGTTCTTCAACTACAAAAAGAATCTTGCATGATTAAACGTACCGCAAAGATAATCTCTGGATAGAAAGTCAATCAAATTCTTCTTAAGAGGTAATCCATACAAGATCATAAGCTGTCAAGGGGTGTTATAAAATATCTCAAAATAATGATCTTAAAGATCGTGATAAAAATCTCGATGCAGGTGAAACAAGTATTTTGTTAATATTCAGTCATCACATTCCTCTGATGATATTTAAGTATATATTATGATTATATTCAGCATTTGCCTTGCTGATATCCGACGTCTTCCTTGCTAATATCAGAGTTTGCATTGCTGATAATCAAATAAAACCCTTGATAATATCCACTTAGTAATTTAGTTGATATTCATTGAGTAGTCTTGCTGGTATTCAAGCAGTTATTTTTTTTGGTTGGATGGTATTGAAGTAATTGACTTGCTGATATTCACGCAATTCACTTGCTTCTGGCTTTTTGAATATAATCAACTCTTCTTACCAAAGGAGTTTAGCAACGTTAGCAATGTAGGTTTTGTACACATAAAACCTTGCCTTGATATAAATTTCTATTCCACTAGACTTGTTCAAGTAGGTCATTCAGTTAGAGAGAATTCTTTCAATGTGAATATTACCTGAAATATAAACATTTATCGCATTTATCAAGTTCAATATAAATCATGGATAGTTTTGTTAACTTCAAAATATATATGAGGTATTTTCATCATATGAAACTCGCCCAGTTGCTCACCTTTAATCGGCATTACTACATGGATTGGGTCTGGGACCCTCGCACTAGCACTACTTCAATACGCAGACAGTTTCGGGTACCCATTCTCAATGACTGTGAAAGTGAGTCACATTTCCTATAACAATCGACCAGATGGGCATTCCTATTTCGACAAGATTGCACATCATATATGAGGTAGCACTAAATTGCTTGCGACCCCTCGTGCTCCAAATATGCTCTTCCTCTATGTTTAAAGGTAGAACAATTATAAAAACAGTAATGTTAAAGTACAATAAAACCTGTTGATAAAAATGGTCTAGGAAGTGATGTGGTAATCTTTGGAAGTGAGGATTCAAATAGATGAGATCATATCCAACATCTACTAGGGAGAACCGGGGCAACAATTCACTTATAACCAAGCCCGATCCAGGATCAATATCTCCCCTGCAATTAAACCGATCGAAATCGACTTAATCCTAACAACAACTAACAATATTCTAGCAATTCAACCTTGCAATAATAAGGAGACAAATGCAACAACGACACCGAAATTTAACGTGAAACCCAATGAAGGAAAAACCACGGACCGCCCCAAAAACTTCCACTAATCACCAAGAATAGTATGATACATAAAGTTATTCTCTAGTCACACACTAGAGGCACAACATCAATAATACAACATCATTTCTATCACCACAAAGGTGGATTTACATAAATGAAGAAGAAAACCCTAACCGCGATTAGAGAATTCGGAGAAGATTTTCAACGAACGAAACCAATCAACTCGTAGTCCTCAGTCTCACAAGCAACATACTAAAATTTGAGCCAATTCCAACAACGTTTGGCCCTCGAATCAAGACCGCAAAGATACGCCCCCTTTCTTTCTTCTCTTCCCTGTTCTCTCGGTGAGCTCTCGGTAAAAACTCGCACTTTTACTCTCTCCCGTTGGACATTCACCACACAAAACAGAAGCCCCTTTTCTTTGTTTGCTTTTGACTTTTTCTCTTTTTTGTTTTGTTTTTGTTTATACTAACTAGGCCCCACATAAGGTGGACCCAGTCAACAAATCTCCCCCTCCATCTCATGTGGAAAGTTTCATCATGCTCGCCTTGTTTTTACACGAGTCAAGTTTCACCATGGGTAAGGCTTTGGTCATCATGTCGGATCCATTGTCGTTGGTATGGACTTTCTCAAGTAGGAAGAGCTTCTCTTCTAATTTCTCTCGAACCCAATGATACTTCACATCAACATGCTTCGATCTTGAATGCAACACCGGATTTTTGCTAAGATAGATAGCACTCATGCTATCACAATATAGAACGGTCTTCTCTTGCTTCAAGCCCAACTCTTATAGGAATTTATGCATCCACAAAAGTTTCTTACCTCTTTCGGTAATAGTGATATATTCCGCTTCAGTCGTAGACAAAGTAACACATTTTTGCAATCTTGACTGCCATGAAACCGCACCTGCAAAAATCATCATGTAACTCGATGTGGACTTTCGAGAGTCAACATCACAGGCATAGTCCGCATCTGAATAGCCACTCAACTTAGGCTTTCCATTTCCATAACACAAGCAGAATCTGGAAATACCTCTAAGATATCTCAAAGTCCACTTCACAGCAGCACAATGTTCTTTACCTAGATTTGAGAGAAACCTACTCACAACACTAATTGCATGAGCAATATATGGTCTTGTACAAATCATAGCATACATCAAACTACCCACGACCGATGCACAAGGAATTTTCATTATCTCTTCCTTCTCTTTCTCACTTGTAAGACACTCATCATTACTCAACTTGAAATGACTAGCAAGTGGAGTACTTACCGGTTTACATGTACTCATGTTGAATCTCTCCAACACCTTGTCGATGTACTTCTCTTGAGATAGCC